ATTTATTTTTTGTTTTATTCATTTCCCAATATTTTTATTCTCTATTAATTTATTAACATATTTCTTCTTATTATTGTATACCTTTAATCTTGATAAATTAATACGTAAACTTATATTCTCTGTTTCCTTTTACTATACTTTTTATTATTGAATTTATTTGTCTACAATGGATTGTATGAGAAGAATAATAATCACTACCATATCTAACCCACAAAAAATGCTATCAATTATATTAAAAATAATTTAAAATAAAAAAATATTTCAAAAAAAAGGTTTTTAAGCATAACATAAAGAATTATTGTTTCCCTTTTATCTAAAAAATAACTTTATTTTGTTGACATATATAGAAATAATTGTTAGCTCAATATATTTGTGTAATAATTACTTGAAGTATGTCAAAAATAAGAACTAATAAAAAACAAATAGTTATGACCAAATTAATAATTGCATTTTGTTGTTCAATCAAATATATACATACATTAAATCAACATTATGATAAAAACAATTATTAATCTTAACTATTTGAATATTAATTCTTGATTTTTTGTCAAACAAGAAAAAAGCAATAGTAAAATTTTTAGTATTTAACAAATGAATGAAGAAAATAATTTTTTACAAAAAAAAGATTTTTATAATTTTTGAAAATTTACAAAAGTTTTAAGCTTTTTTTTATAAGGACAGTATCATTTATAATATATTATGTATAAATTATCATTTAATTGTAACTTAACATTTATAAATGTATGATTATATATTAGATCAATAATTAAAAAATAAATTTAAAATTTAAAAATTTTAATAAAAAATATCGTGCATCATACAGGTTAAAAAAGCTCGTTATATATATATATATATATATATATATATATATATATAAGAGGACTAGGGGTATAATCAATCAAATTCAAGTAGATATAGTATTAAGTTCAAGTTCGAGCTCGATTTGAAATTCAAAATTTGAAACTCGGTTCGAACTCATTTTTCTTTCAAGTTCGACTCGAAATAGAAATTGAGCTACTTAAGCTCGCTCGATTAGGCTCGATTAATATGTAAAAATAAGATTGATTCTTACTATTCAACAAAAACTTGATATTCTGTACTCGAATCTTGAAGATATTTATTAATTAAAAAATAAAAATATATTTAAGTATAAAGACTCGGATTCAGGCTCACTAAACTAACCTAAATCGGAGTATAAGAATGCTCGAACTTGGGACTCGATCGATGAGTCAAGCTAGTTCAAGCCTCTACAGTCTCGACTTGATAATTCAATCGAATCGAATTCAAGTTTATTATAATTCGAATCTAAGTAGCGTACGAGTATTAATGTTCAATTTTTTATATTTCTAAAAGGGACTGGACAAAAGCCTAACTACTGGACTAGTCCCATTTTACCGGACTTGCCCCAAAAAATCAATCACATAGGCCCAGTGCTTAGTTCAATGTGAGGCCTAATTGTTGTGTTTTCCTTTTTTCTCTTTTTTATTTTTTTTTTGGGGGGGGGGGGGGGGAAGGGGTTTGGGTGGGCATGACTGGTTTGGGGGGGGGGAGGTTGATATTATTCTTTCACTGTGAGTGCATGTTGGGTATTTTCAGGGATTAATCAATACTTATTAGGTCTGATGATGCATCTAACAAACAGTCCCTCTTCCCAATAAAGCATAAGAGTCATTAAATTATTTTTTTTCTAGCAAATGTCTTTAGGTCAGCCACACATGGACTGTCATGGGGGCACCTTAAAGTAAAGATTAGGAAGCCAAAGTTCTCCAATGTTTGTACTGTTTTCTTCTTCATACCAAGCAGCCGTTAGACAAGGACAATGTTGTCCTCTTCCATTTTCTTTATGTGGAAGATTTGAGATTGAAACACTGCTCTGCTTTAGGTGATGGCATCTTTATCTACCTTTCCCATACCCCCTTTTCCCTACAACTTTGGGACAATCCAATGAAACCTCACCTTTTTGCTAAGAAGGGAAGATTACCGCAAAACAGGCTTTAGAACCAACAAGAAAATCTTTGTGAATTAATGTTCCAACAGTATGACGTGTTTGGGGATTGTAAAACCTTTCAAGTCTAGTCCACATAAAATAGCCTTTTCTTTTCTTTTCCATGTTTGAAAAACATTCTCTAGTTATTTTATGTGAATAGAACTCCAGTTTCAATCACAATCTAAACAGAACTGATTTATGCATTTTCATTAGCCAATTCTTGCATGCCTCTTGAAAAAAAAACAATAGTTATACTTTTTCTAGCCTTGTGAGGGTAGGCAGGCAGTCATTGAGGGATGTGTTTCCTAAACTTTCAGTACATTTCGACTTAGATTTAAGATGTACATGAAATGTAGGAAAAAACACATCATTGCATCTTCCAGTTTCTTGATAGGAAAATTTCTTAGTACTAGATTTTTATTAAGCAAATAAGCTGTTGTGCTCATTTGCTCCTTTTACTTATGAACCTGGTTTATATTTGAGTTTGAACTTCTGAACTAGATCTGGGCTACTCAAAGCAAATACTATCTGGCTGACATTGAAATTGAATGATTTCATGGTTGTCACCGGATGAACGAACATATGATACGCAAGCAATTGGATTTGATTCAAAGCTCTTGTATTTCAATTTGTAATCTCTCTTATCAACATTATCCATATTATATTCATGTTAACTCTTTCAAGGTGCATTTTTTTTTCTTTCAAAAGGGTTTTCGAGTTACATAATAAGAGATAATCTTTTCTCGCTCATAAATCTTATTCTGTCAATCTCAAGGTTTGAACAAAATAACCAAAAGAACTATGAACTTGAAACTAACTATATAAAAAGCTCAAAAAAGTTTACTTTTAATCAGAAGGGCTTCATAAATGATAACATATCACCTACAATTATTGTAGTGTAATTGATCAATCATAATTTAGCATTTATTTTTAAGTGATGGATCCCTATAAAATTATTATAAAAAAATTGTAAATGAAATGCTACGTCGATAAATTCCTTGTTCATTTCTAGCAGGATATGTTTCTGGTTATATAAAAATTGGGCCTCAAGCCTTATGAAGCAAATTGGGGCCTGAATATATTACTGCACTGCTTTCTAGGACTGTCATAAAGTCATACATCCATTGGACTGGGTTGGGTTGGAAAAAACAATTTGTTAGGGTTTTTTTTTTTTTTTTTTGTTAATCGTATGAAAAAAAAAACGGATTAAATTTAATTTCTATTTCATTTTCAATATTTGGTATTATGGTAAGTGTATTGACCTTTATAAATGGTCCTAAAATTTTTAGTAAGATAAATTTTTTTTTCAAGAATTGAATGTTTTAAGAAGAAATATATTTATTTGATTAGTAATCTTGAAAATGGCTCTTCTGCTTGAAGGTCAAACTACCTTATGAATTAAGTAGGCCTTCACCAATATCCAGTACTGTCATCCCTCATAGAACCCCAGATGACCGTCTAACAAAGACTGGTTATGTGAAGCTTTCAGCATTGTCACAGGTAGTAATTGATTAACTTTTTTTTTCTTTCACGCAAAAGTGATTGTGAAGAAACGGTCTGGATTTGCGGAACAACCCGGTGATTTTCCACTCCTATTTTTGTCGTTGAATATTTTTTTTAATTTGATGAAATTCTGTCCTTAAATTTCTTGTCTCAAATCATTGTGCTGGGAGGTCTTGTGAAAGCTTTGTTTTTAGTTTTTCGCCATTAATACATGCTATAGCTTATCTAATTTGATCCATGAAATAAATCTTTGACAATCTAAAATATAACATATTGACATGATACGAATATGAGATGAATAAATGATACAAAAATAATAATTTAAAATTTTAATAATATCTATATATAAATTTAAAAAAAACATATTTTAATTTTTATATTAAATTATAACATATAATATTTATATAAT